GTTGTCATCACTATCCATTTCTGAAAGTTTTTATTAACCTCAGCTGTAATTCCCATCCCCCACCCCACTAAACTCCCCAGCAACACACACACAGCCCCTGGTAACCACTAATCAACTTTGTCTCTGTCTGTGCCAGTGTCCATTCTCAATGTTTCATAGAAGTGAGACCATGCAGTATTTGCCCTTTTCTGTCTGACTTAGTTCTCTCAGCATAACTTTTTCAAAGTTCATCCATGTGATAGCATGGATCCGAGCTATGCTAATGTCTATATTTTTGTATTTTGAGAATTTGCACTGATGTTTACGTTGGGTGTTAAAAATGGCAAGATTGGTTCACAATAAATATCAATCCCACAGCTGAGTAGAAACTTATAGTTTACAAGCACTGTTTAGTTGTTTGTTTTTTCCCTTCACCAAAGCCCCCTAGAAAAAGAGGGGCAGGTGAAAAGGAATCATCAGGTGGTCACTGTCGTCGTTGCAGTCTGAGAAAAGGCCGAACCATTGCCCTGCCGCTCCGTGCCGACTGTCCCTAGCCCTCACAGTGTTTCCTGTACAAACAGGCCTCACTGTCTCCTGCTCCTTTCCTTAGACTCTTGAGATTCCTGAGGGGAAACCCAGGCAGACCTGGCCAGATGCACGTTTCTTTATTTCCCTGAATTTCAATCTTCTTCTTGATTTCGGTTATGTGCCATGGAATCATTTCTCATGATTTTGGTATCCAGACAGAAAATCTAGAATAATTGTGAAAGTTAGGGTTAGCCTACCAGAAGATTGTACAGGAAACACTTGTATTTCATCCTTGCAAGTGGATATGGAGGCAGAGGGATTGGGTTCACAGTAATTGTCCAAACCCGGTATTTATCTTGACCGCTGACCTCTTGGACTACTGGTGTGGCGCTGTAGGATCAGCACTGGACTTCGAACTACAAGGTTGTCATTTCAGACCCACTAGCAGCTCCTCGGAATCCCTATACAGAGTCGGAATTGACTTCATGGCACTTAACAACAACACTGACTGAATACCATTAGCCTGGTGCCCAGTCAGCTTTGCCTGACCCAGTGCCTCACTTATAATCATGAAACGAAAAGTGTAGTCATATAACCTATGTAATTTCCAACAGAAATTGTAAAGGAAAAAGTATATGACGTTATTAAGTATTGGTGGTGGTGGTTATATGTTGTGGAGTCGGTTCCGACTCACAGCAACCATGTACAAGGTGTCCGAGGCTGTAAATCTTTACAGGAGCAGAAGGGCTTCAAAATGTTTGTGTATAAATGGAATTGAAAGATACTGAAATTTTTTCACAAACTTTTTGAAGTCCCTCGTATAAAGTATCTCATTGAGTTTAGGCTTCAGTATGTATACAAAAAGACAAATGTAGAATCACTGAGAATATAAAAGGTATAAATGCAGTCTGACCAGGGTATAATGTGTTCTAATACAAGTGCTGTTGATGCAATAACTTGATTTTCTGGAACAATGAATATCTATTAGTGGAATTCCAAGCAAAAGACAATTCTGGGAGAATTCAATGAATATTAAAAACTACATAAAGTAAACATGTTTATATATA